AAGGTGCTTGTATCCTGTTTAGTTTTGATTATATAGGAAAGAAATATCTAGCTAAATCTGCGATGCATTTAGCTCGGTACCATATAAACCCAAATTATTACGTATGTTGATTCGGACACCACCGTCTTACAACAGGATTCGTTTGACAGCGCTAATTTGTACAGTAAACTACAGATGTCAGTTCAGTAGATGGCAGTATTTGTTTGTAAATTGTTGTTAATCGCGTGTTTTACGTTATCATTATTCTCTAATTTGAGTATTTCTTCTAACATCTTATCATAATTCATTTACATTGTATCGAGGTTTTGTTCCAATAAGTCCTGCTTCTGTTGAAAATATTTTATTGTTTCTTCAAATAACTGTTGTTGTTGACTCAATTTCTTTTCAAATCTCATCTCCAATCTTTTGATGTTCGCGGAAGAAAAGAGCTAGATGCAGATTTTGACATTAAATAAAGAATAAATGTGCGACTGTCATGGCCTATTCGAGAACTTTGACGCGTCGTTAACTGTGAAATCAGATCAAAAGAGGTTTATAATTGAAAATTTTATAGAAATAGAGAAGGCGATAATACAGACGTCTGTTTGAAAGCGGTTGAATTTTAAATTGTTTGAGTAGAGAAGACGAAGAACTACTAAAATCTTGTGAAATGATCCTACTAGCAAGACGCTGAATTTTATCCAAAAATTTCAAGATGAAGTGGAATCACAGATAACACAACCGTATTCAAGCACGGTTCTTACACAAGTTTACACAGGTGACAATGAAGAAATGAAGGCGAGTCACGAAAGACTCTTAAGATAGAGCCTAACATTTGACGAGATTTCATTGAAACATAATCAATGTGAGCCTTCCACGTTAAATTATATGAAATAATCATGCCAAGACGCTTAAGAGACGAAACTCTTTCTATATCAACGTTACTTATTGAAAGAGTGAATGACGGAAGCAGTTTAGTAGAATTTGAAAATAAAATCCAGAGACATTTGTTTATGTTTAATTTGACCTCATTCAAATCCCACCAGAGAACAAGCTCATTGATACATTTTTGAGCTTCGAACATAACATCCGGAAATCGCCGTCGCCGCGGATTCAGTGTTAAAGTGTTAACACTTTAGCGTCAACACTTTAGCGTCAACACTTTAACACTTTAACATATACGAACTCGCGGCGAGTGAGGGTGAGGGTGGAGAAGTGAGAGTGAAGTGGGTGAAGAAGTGCTCTACCCTCATCCTCACTACTTCACCCTCAGTTATGCACGTTTATCCTTTTACACTTTAACACTTTAACACTTTAACATATAAGAATCCGCGGCGACGGCGATTTCCGGGTGATGCCGCTTCGAATATGCTTGTAACACAGAAGACATCGTCTAGAAACAGACAAGAAAGAAGAGAAGATTTGAGAAATGGTGCAAGATAATTCTTGCAAAAATGTCATATTCGAGTATTTTAAATGTGAGAACATCACAGATAAAAACGAAACCATCTTCTCTTTCTACAGCTAAACTTCACTCTAATAGACATAAGGCATTAAGAGAATTAAGGCTTAGTAAAAGTAAACATTTCTTAAAGTTAGCTGATCAATTCACGTCGTCACAAAATTTTTGGAAAGGTATTAACAACGCTAAGGACGGTAGCACAGATGTACCAGCTACAGTACTTTTTGATAACAAAACAGCTAGTTGTGACACTTCAAAAGCTAATTCGTTTAACGAATGCTTTGGAAAATGTTTTGTGCCAAAAGCTCGGCCTTCTGCGAAACCAAAAATAGTCATTAACGATACTTTTGTTCTTATTCCATCTACTAAAGAGCAAATTTTTGTAGCAATCAACAGTTTAAGAGACGATGTTGCAGCAGGACCAGATAGAATAACAGTGCATTTTTGTAATCAGTGTGTGTTAGATTTTCTTGACGTCATTCATCACTTGTTTACACTTTCTATTCAGCAAGGTGTTCATCCTTCCAAGTGGAAGTTTGCTGACGTAGTACCAATACATAAGAAAGGATCAAAAGCTCTTGTCGACAAATATCGTCCAGTATCTCTATTGTCAATCATAAGTAAAATTTTAGAAAGATTTATTTACGACCAACTTTATTCTTATTAAATAAACATAAATTTTTCCTTCCGACACAATTCGGTTTTCGTCCGAACTCTAGTACAGCGGATGCATTATTATATCTCACATCAAAAATTTTTAGCAATCTAGAGGGAGGAATAGCGTCGGTTTTAGTTCTATCTGATTTTGAGAAAGCGTTGAACAGAGTTCCTTTTCAGATACTTTTGAGTAAACTTTCTGCGCTGGTAAACGCAAAATTGAAGAATGGTATTCGTTAAATCTAACGTCGTTAAATTATTCGAAGTGTAGCTGGATGTATTTTACTAATCGATCTCCATCTGTTGCCAATCATCTTTCTTTTTCCATTAATTCTACAGTAATGAAACGCGAAGAGTCTGTCGTTCTTCTCGGCTTGAAACTTTCGCATAATTTAAGTTAGGAAGCACACGTGAACAATGTAGTCCTTGCATGCAGACGTCGTTTAGGTGTTCTTTATCGTACATTTAAAGATGCTCCAAGGTGTGTTCGATTAAAAATTTATAAGGCATGCATTCTTAGTAAATTAGATTACTGTTCTGTAATATATGATAGTGATTGGTTTAGTTCGAGTCTTGATAAGGTTACAAAGTTAGGAGCGCGATTAATATGTAAAATGTTTGACGGTTCAGTTACGGAGTTAATCGAAAAATTGAAACTTCTCAATTTATCTTTGAGAAGGAAATACTTTCAGCTTCTACATTTCTATAAAATTAAAAATGATTTATCACCACTTTCTAGTTTTCAAACTAAATTCATTGAACCTACAGTAAATCGTAGATCAGATCGGTTAAATTCGGATAGACAAAATTCGCAACAAGTAAGAACTATTACTGCGACGAAGGTCCGAGTTGCGACTTCTTTTTTTTGCAGGACTGCAATAGAGTGGAACAGTTTACCGGCGGAGGTAGTCTCTTGTCATACAGTAAATCAATTTAAAAGATTATTAAGATCATTTTTGAACATGTAAAAATATTACAGTTGTTTATTTATTTTCGTGTCATAGGCCTAGAACTGTTTTCTTTGTTAGGCTCAACATATGATGATTTGTTTTTTTTTTCTTTCAATTTTCTTTCTTTTTTTCTACTCATACAATAGTGGTAGCCTTATAATTATAAGTTCTTGACTTTTACTACTGTCCCTTCAGCCATGTGTTTTGTTTTAACTTTTTTTTCTGGGTTTCATGTGTTTTGATGAAATAAATTTTATTTCAGTTCAGTTCAGTTCAGTCAAATTTTGTTCGTCCCAGCAATTCCTGCTCTAACCGCTAGAAGTTGTATAACATTTTTTCACACGTGCACACTTCGAATTTCCTATTTCTCGATACAAGGTGGGTGCAGGAGTGATAAATATTGTGGACAATGCATCAACCTGGTTTTGGGATGTCGTGGTGCTCATGGGGACTGTGAGAGAATTGAAGGTCAGTTCCTCGGGGAATTGTGACTCTGTTCTCAACACCGTGATACGTTAGAATTTCTATATCTCGGTTCTTGGACACGGCTGTCACTATTCACAGTCACTCTTTGGCGCTCGTTGCTCAATGTACAGAGCTTGTGCTATGTTTGTTCGTCCGGTTGCAAGGATCTTGTTCTTTCATGTGTCTCTCACTTCTTGCAGTCCACGGTCCTGCTCTTCCCTTTTGTCATATACTTACATTTCTCTCATTCTTCACTCATTCTCATCCACAGCTACTATCTCTCGTAGCTCTGACGAGACCATCTAGGGTCTCATCTTCCTTCCTCGGCGGCTGGCAACAACAATAAAGTCCACATGGACCTTTATAATATATGAAGACAAAAATATCTGATAAATCAGCTTGTAAGAAGAATGCGTAAAACTGTAGCCTTGAACTCAGTTTTAATTAACGTTAGTTATTGTTCTCAAAACAACGTTGAATCTTCTAACATCATACTAAAAACTATTTTAGTCATCTCAAAATTTGATTAGAATGAGATTACCGTTGGGATATCGAACGAATGTCTAGACCCACTCTCTCGTTAAATATAAACAAGAACTTATAAGTAATAAGCGTGATGTAGTCTAATAATAACTCGCTGGACTCATGATCATAAGATACCCCAATTCTGACCAGCAGGAAAGTTGGAATCAATTCACGCATATGGAAAATAAAAGGCACGTACTCAGTCCATAAACATCATCTAGTGGAACTAATGGAAGTCACCGTATACTCATTGACATTCTAGAACATCTTGCAAAATGCACATTAAAGGCGGCTAGCAGTCAGATATGCTAAGTTATTATAGGTAGTTATTATAGGTAATCTTTCAATAGTTTTGTATGCACGCCTCTAATTTGTCAAAATTTTCCACCCGTAGTTTACATAGGATCTACGAAATATTGATCTTAATAAGATAATGTTATTCTCTAACTTGATCGCGCAAGGGTGCTTGTTCACGAAGATACTCATACAGTGGAGGTGATGCATCCAAGCATCGAAGTTTATATTTATTCTCACTCTGGTATTCAGACGTTCTCACGTACCATTTACCCTGAAAATCTTTTTCATTTTCGTTCCACCCCAGCTGAATATTAACATGGTGTCCCAAGTTCTGACGTAGATCTGGGCCGGTACCAAGAATATACGTTTTAACAATGCCCATTTTTAAAGTCCGAGTTGAATAGACGCCTTTTAGCTTATAGTCTCCAGTATCATCCGTCCCGTAACCCGTTAGTGTTGAACTTTCATCGTTGAATTTTATTATGCATGCTGGTAGTTGATGACAATAACCATCTTGAAAATATTCCCCAGTCCATGAACCAGATTGAAATATGTCGGTTCTTTTTTCTGGAAGATCTTGCGAAAAATGTTTTGTCTTGTCAACCCATTGACCTATAGAATAGAACGATCTACCACTAGAACATTTTCGAATGCAATAGAATAGGATGACCCCGATTACTATCGCTCCAATTGCCGCGGCAACGGAACCAACTGCTATTCGACATGTTTTGTTACATGATCCTGTACCGTCCGGTCCAGAAAAATAAGTTCCATCACTACTATAACCTCCACTACTCTCAGACGATCCATCACCACCTCGCTGTGATTGGGCTCGGGGGGTTAAAAGGCAAGCATAAATAACATGGAGTATGTAAACAATTTTCAGGTGATGCATGCTTCTTTTTCTGATTACCGATGAAAACGATAGGAAAATTCTGTATGTGGATACAGAGATAAAACTGAATAGTATATACCCAAAGAGTAAGGATTAATTTGTTGCATTGTGTATGTATGACTCAGTACTATTTTCCTTTCTGTCTCCCATACATAATATCTAAGCAACTTCACGATTAATAGACCTTGTACATTATCGTATTCTTTTCTTCTCTCTAACTTTCATAGACATCTAACACTTGTCTTTCTCTCTTTCTTTTATTTATGCTTTCGTACATTTACCTTTCTACGGATTGTATAAACAAATGAAAATGCGTGAAATTGTCATCTACATTACGAGCCTATGCACATATTAAGAAAGCAACGTGTTAGAAACGCTTTGCAGTTCGATGCGTTATGTATGAGCATCATCAAGTCATCACAGAGGTTGATACTATATAGAGCCATTTTGCAGTGTGCATTGCATACTGTAAAATGGCTCTTTTTTTGGCTCCATATTGCACACTGTGCAATCTTCATTAGATGAATTTTTGGACGAAAATTAGAACTTGTTCTTTTCTCACTTTCTTGCTTTCTATATCAATCTTTGTGACTGCTTATAGAACGGAAAAAAGAGCAACATGAAAGACTAATAACATGAGACAAAACGAAGAGAGTCACATTCTTTTAAATTCTATGGTAGACTCCGACTTCAAAGCCTGGTGAACGTCATTGTGGTCTTTGCACCGAGGAAGAGGAAGTCATTGACCGATTTAATGCTTTTGTAAAATACTACTGTTAAACGCTCATGGTTGACCTTATTTACCATTTCGTTACTAGGATTGAAAAAATATGTTTTATATTTCTTTGCATCTGATAATACATATTGTGATGATCTAAAATTGAGTGATATTATTGACGATAAAAGCTGATATAAAATACATGATATTGTTAAAGTTAAATTCGGGAACGATATATATGAAGGTGAAATACTTGGAACATCAGGTATTAAAGAAGAATTAAAACAATATTATCCACAAAATGTTGAAGAAAAAAATAATCGTAACAGAATTATATCAACAGATCAAAGAACGGCAATAAAAAGTTCAAAAGAAAATAACGAATATAAATTATTAAATGACGCTATAGGACAACAAGATCAAATATTAACATTCGTACAAGATATATATATGGCTGTACAAACGTTAGAAAAGAATTGTATTACATTAAGCAAATCAATGGACGAAGATGCTAAGAAATTATCAACAATTGAAAGAAATAGTACTCAATGTACAGAAAAAATGAATGCGCTGGTCAATATGTTTATGTCAATAAATAACAATAAGAAAAAAACAATGGCAACTCAGTAAGGAAAAAAAGTTAAAAGTGCTTCATGTAAAAAGATTTTAATAAAATGTGTTACTAACGAATTATTTTTGAGGAAAATGACGAACTATCTAAATGTTTAGACTGATATTTATCTTGAGCATTGGCGCTGGAACTGGCTTTTTTAATTCTTTTTTCATCGGTGAATTGTCAAAAAAAGACATTACCATCCGTCATTATACTGCCATCGAACCCAATGAAGCACACTTTGCTGCCCTTTCTTCTCTTGATCCTGACTCTTTTTGTAATGCTCCAGTCACTCTTCACAAACAATACTTCGCTCCTTCGCTCAAGTCTTCTTCTTCATTTGATACTATTCTTCTCGCGCATTGTCTCTATCTGATGCCTGATCCAGTGTCCAACTTGCGCCATGCTGATCATCTGCTGTCATCAACAGGTCATTTGTTGGTTTATCATCAGACTTCGATTGGTGTTCCCCAGTTTGTCGAGCATTTCAACAAAAAATTAATTTGGTTAGAAAGGCCTCTTGCGGATCATACGTTAACGATCGAAAGTCTTCATCAACAATTGTCAACGATAGACGATAATCCTTTAAATTCGACATCCTCGAAGTTGAAAGCGCCGTTGATGTCACAGACCTTGAATCACATATTTCAGGTATTGTTAATGTATCCTCACTCTCACATCCCCCTTAATTATTCCACATGAACTCATACAACAGCTCATGAATTTTTATCCTGAAATCACATATTATATATGGATAATTATTTGCCTATCAGTCCTGGTCTCAATGCTATTGAGTGTTGAGTGCATATTGACAAATCAAGTAGTTCTGGAGAAACATCGCCTTTTTCAGCAGAAAACACGCTTTGAGAAAAAGAGAAGAAATGAGGAAAATACTCTAAATAGTGTTCATCTAAGCGGAGTAAAGTTTGGATGCGACACTTTTACGATGGGGGGGCGAAAATGGTTTTTTCATGGTGCTAGTTTTAATCACGAAGGAAAACTACATCAGACTCATGAATATGAGATTGATCTGAGAGGGCGTCGATTTTGTCTCGTATCGGCCCCTGACCTTTTTTTGGATATTTCCAAGGTCTCTGGGGTGTAAAACCCGAGAAAAGCATTTCGAAGCACCAACGCATCTACTTAAGAAGAGGAAAAAACAACACTCCTAAGTTGCCTTGAAAGAGGAAGAGTAAAGAGGAACGTAAAGTAATATAAAGTAAACGTTGCCATCAGATTTAGCATGGTCGATTATGTGCTTCTCTTCCTCTTTCAAGGTTACTCGAAGCCACTGAGTGCCAGTCCTTGCGGCTCCATGGAAATCGAATACCACGCCCAAATCATTCAAACTCAAAGTCTCACTTGGCTCCCACCTCGAAGAGAACACTTTAGGCTATTTATTCATGAAGAAAAAACAATATATTGCTACCTTATCTTTCAGAGTTATGGAAGAGTTTTCCAGAGATCTCCTTGAAAACCGATCATTGAGAAACGCTTTCCACTTTGTTTTAGCTATAAAAGGATAGCCTAAAGTCTTGGCTATCGAATCGTAAAAACCGGAAGTTTTTATCGCCTTTCGTTCTTGAGTTATTCGAAAATCACTGACCGGCATATGAAAATCCATCAGAAGGGAACCAATTAGAGGTTCCCTCGCACGTAGGGCCGTATTAATAGTAGAATCAACTTGTTGTTGCATTACCGTTGAAGTCCTTGTGAAAAGTTGCATATCGAACTGGTTTTTATGAAATTTTAAAATACTATAGCAGAAATACACTGATTGGAACAAGTGCCTCTAGAACTGGGTCCCCCGAATCGAGTTCCCGAACCCATCTTAGCGAAACCCACAAATCACAGAATGGACTATGATACTACACCTGGTGTACTCCAATAGTATACTAGGGGCATGCAGAATAGCCCCGTTTCCATGGAGAAAATTATTCCTCAAAATCGCCCAAAATGATCATTTTCGGGCAAAATTGCAACTTTCAAATCGTCTGTATTGAAAACGAAAGACCTGTCTTTCTGTGATTTGTGGGTTTCGCTAAGATGGGTTCGGGAACTCGATTCGGGGGACCCAGTTCTAGAGGCACTTGTTCCAATCAGTGTATT